AAAGGATCTCCCGGACAAAATCCCAGTCCACATTGCTATCTATGCTGACGATGTCACAATCTGGGGGAGTGACACATCAGCAGTGCAGCCAGCCATAGATATCACCAAAGCATTGTCATCAGACACGAACCTACCAATAAATGATGAGGTATGTGTACGTCCTTTGGCAGGGGCTTCGCGCACACCTTTAATGTGTGCAACACATCCCAACTTCAGCCAGCATAAGACCCTTGGCTTCTGGTTAACTAACTCTCTATCTTTTACTTGCCACCACCAAAAAGCCCGAAAAAAGGCTTTTGGGGTACTCAACTTTATCAAGCGCTCCTTCCCTCGCTTTGATAAAGAAAACTTTCAACTCTTATATGGTACTTATTTAAGACAACTCTTAGAATGAGGAGCCCAAATTGCGTTCTGTGGTCTTGTGGGTGATCGCAACTCCCTCGAACGAGTTCAACGAGCAGCCACAAAGATAGTCTCATGTCTCTTTCATGTCCCATATCTCATCCCTCTCACCACACTGAACCTTTACCCCCTAAACACCTGTCGCATTCGAGCGAACCCTTTCCTTCTTTATCACTTATTTTCCATGAACACAGAAAACCAGTTTTTCAGCTCCTGTAGCTTAGACACTCTTCGCGGTCACAGCAAAACGCTGTTCAAGCCTCGGCCTCGCACCCGAGTTCGTCACTGGTTCTTTACACATAGAATCACTCCTTTATAGAACAGCCCCCGCAGGAGGTGGTTGACGCGCCTTCAAGGAGCATGTTCAAACACAAGCTCGATATCTTCGTTGGTCTTGAACACGCTTCTACCAAATTCCATTAGTTACTCCATCTCTATCTGTTCATCTATCTCTCCATCCACCAAGTTCTCGTTTTAAATGCATTTGTCCTAACTGCACTGAGTCATAATTTTTGCTGTTGTTGTGTATTTTTGTGCATACAAAATCAAACCAAAAAACGAAAATATAAAAAAACGGAAAACCCTTTTGAAAACTATCATAAACTTCCTTAATATTTCTGAGAGTTCATTATGTTAAATTTTACTTACATGCAAGTAAAAATGTATTTACTACTCAGATGCGCATATTTGTGCACTGCAAGCAGATACTGCACCCTTCCCCTCCCCTCTTCTCTTTCCGGTTCTTCCACGCAATTACCCGAATCCCCATCTCAATCACTCTCTTTAGCGGGCCGTGCTCTCAAATTCTCGTCAGCGGGCACTACCCACCAATCAAAACTGACAAGTTTCCAAGATCCGGGACCATTGGGCTTAGCCTCGAACCAGTAAAATATTTCAAGATTTCAAGACACAACTGTAAATGAGGAAACTGAAAAAGAGCTCCCAATAAAGGTTTTTGTCTCTCCTTTCTCATAAGTTATCTTACAATATATATATGTACATAAATATAACAAGGATTCTTAGGTTGCTTCCTCCGGAAACAATCTATATGTTCCGCTTAAATGTTTAATCTGAAGTTGAGTTTCTATCAGATGGACATTTCATTGATGAGGACACCACCCGGAGTCTGAAGACGAGAAGTTCTCACATTTCCCGTTTTTATGGCTTGCTGAAACTCCAAAAGCCTGGTGTACCACTCGAATCAGTCATATCTGCAGTACGGAACACGTTCAGATGGATCAAAATCTTCCTGTGCAAAAGTCGTGCAGTATTGAGATTTTGTCTTTTTGGAAACTTATCCCGAGGAAAGCTTGCTATATAGAGTATGTATATATTTTACGTTTGGTAGGTACAGAAACGATTAGGTAATCTAAATAATTCTACTGCAAACCCATTGGGTTGGTGTAAAAAGACGCCATTTTGTGAACGAATTGGCGTTAAAAATACGCGCCAGTGTGTTGACAGTGCATGGTATAGTTCCGGTTACTGAATCGTAACGCTCGTACTGACTTGGTACACACCATCTGAAATAGATAAGTCAGGAAGAGCAAAGAGCCTATAACTAGGGGCCTTGTTTCAGTGTGACGTTGCCTAAGAATGTGCGGCCTCCCGGAAAGTCTGCTATCCAGCGAGTCAATGAGTTCCTGAGACCAAAAGTCCTCATTTTTAGCATTAAACAATCGTGCGGGACTTTGTCAAAGGCTTTCTAGAAATCAAAAATATGTCGTTGGTAGGGTGCTTCACTTCCATATTCAGTTCACGTGCTAATCGTAGGCTTGATAACTAAGATATGCTGTTTTGAAATTCATGTTGTTGTTTGCACAAGAGGATGTCATGTGCTGATAAAGTCGTTTGGCTATCACACGTTGTAACCTCTTATCTCTTATGAAGACGTTTCCAAGAGCTTCACTTTTAGTATTTTGTAAATCATGGCCCTAAGTTAGTAGCCTTTAGCTAATGATTCATTCTTCAGAAAGAACACCAAAGGAACAATTTTAGAGAAAGTAGTTAATGGAACAAAGTAGACACAAAAGTGCGATGTGGCAAGTAGTCTTGTAAAACACATCATCACCCGCTTAGATTAAGATGGTAGATGATAGGTCCTTACTGATTTCATTTACGTAAATAACAGATAGAAATAATAGATAAAAAGTAACAGAACAGAGGCCGCTGGTACATCGCCGGGATGCCTGTTGTTCGTTACTTGATGTTTCAACTGCAGAGGTAATTACTGACTCGTCACATTAAAAATGCTTTACAATTGTTGCTCTTTAGCTTAGGTAGCGGGCACCGGTAGTTGTGTGAGCCGAAGTTTATCTAGACATCGCCTTATTAAATCGTAGCTGTACCATCTTGGTCGAACCTACTTGTAACCTAGTTCAATACCGACAATATGGTGTTGAGTCGAGACCTTTCACTCAAGTTCCGATGTTAGAAAAATCAACTAAATTGTTATTTGTTACATGAATGTGCGTTCGCTCTCCGATTACCATCCATGGAATCTCTGGCGTCAACGAGCACAGGTTGTTTGATTGGTTGCGTATCGCTTTCCTCTCCACTTCTTCGCGTTTTGGTAAGTTTGCATGGCTCTCAAAAACAAGACAAATTTGTTTTCATAACCGGCGAATTATGCATTTTAGTGTGTGATTTAGTTATAATCACAGCACATTTCTTCATGAAAGATAGATTCGTTCTATCCTAAACCGCCTGTTTTTTCAAAGTCACTTCATTCTAAAGGATATCGCAGGATACTTAAGAAGTAATGCAGCTTTTCTACGATAGTTATGAGAATTTACGTATTCTTTCAACCAATTGATGGTTATTTTCATGCAGAAAAGGTGATGAAATACGTTAAGTAAATTGCCGTCAACTGCAAACCAGAAGTAGGGGGCATCATAGACGCTCGTAATATTCAAGGAATAAAGTGTATTTATTCTTGAACTGCCTCCGTATTCATACTGTATCCTATTCAGTCACAAGACAAAAACAAGACTGGCGGTTTGAGTAGCACGGTTGACGTTTCTTTTGATTATTCCCCCAATGGCATCGATTATTGAACTATTCAGTGTTCCTCCAGATTTTGGCGATATTGATGCACTATGATAAGCAGTTTTATACAGCTCTCTTTTTTACTCAGCCTCACACTTCCTCCTTCATTTATGAACTCATACCACTTTTCGCTCCCCTTTAGGAGGATAGCCTCCAAATTGATGTTGGTGACTTATCCCATAACCTGTTTTATCCTAACTGATATTTATCTATCCCCATAAAAGGTGATTCACTTTTAGGCAAGTTAGTTACCAATCACCCGGAACATTTTACCTTAAAACCTACAGCACTTGTTTCCATCTTTGACCACTTCCATCCCGTTCATGGTGCACTTACAAAAACCAACGAAGTCACTTTTCACCTTCGCAATCTCCCCCACCATAAAGAACATTCTTTTTCTTAAGCGTTTTATTAGTGTTGATTCTTCGTGACTTTCCTTCGGTCATTCTTTGCTTAATGCAGTCAGTTTATTTTTCTCTCGAAATGGTCTCTAGCTGATCGGTATTATTCGAAACAAATGGTGTGATGGAATCGCTTGATGAGCAGATAAGAGCTGCGTTAGTACTGTGCAAAGTTGTTGCACAATTCAGAGTTTGGGCTTTGGTCCCCCAAAGTAATTCGATACTTTGCCAAATTTTCTTGTTATTTTTACACTACAGAAACTGAGTGGTGCACAAAACACAATTTCGCGATTGCTTTCAACTTTGCTTAGGTTTGAATAACGCCTGACAAACATTGATTCTTCAGATCTGTAGGATCGTTTGTTCTCATTACCGAATTACTTTAACGTCATACCCGCCAATCCAATCAGCAGTCTTGTCTTTGTATTGTGATTGATATTTCACTTCTTATCGAACCACTTTGATTGCAGTATGCACGCATAGAGATGCAACGAAATGATTGTGAATACATTGTTCAAATCCATCTTTCTGAGTGTTATTTTAACTTGTGACAGTTATCCGCTTTGTTCTCTTCCTATTTCAATAATTGTGGATATATATTTTTTTTATTACACACCTAAGTGTGATGAACAACAGACGGGGCGAACCCCATAGTCACGTAGACCTGCTGTTTAATGGTGGAAACCGGCAACCTAAGCCTCGAGACTTAAAGTGGTGAACCCCATAAGGCCCGGATAGATTAGGTGTGGTATTGAACCGGACGACAACAGAGCTGCTAACCACCAAAGTCGGGTGGCGATGAGCTCGAACTTCGGACCATAGGGTCCAAAGCATGCCGGTGACAGCGACTAAACCACTGGACCACTGCCACCCATACATATATATATATATATTAGTTATTGCATTCGTAGACCATTTTTATAGTTTCGTCAATAAACTAGTGAGGATAGATTTTACTGAAACATTTAAGTATTTTCAGCACATCACTTTAAATGTGAATACTTTACTCGCATGTCAGTTTCCCATTTTCAGCCACGATAAAACTGGTATATTGCACGCACAAATGAGATCGAAATTTCGCGTGGTGTCCATTCTGTAAATAAGCACCAGCGCATTACAAAAAACAAGCATTTTCGCAAACCTCCCCAAATGACAAAATTCAAAACTCGTAACGAACAGTGTGATCCCAAACGGTTAATTCAACCATTAGAAGCCTATATTTTGTTGCCGGATCGACTTTGTGCGGCAAGCCCAGATAACATGCGATACACCCCATGCATGACCGATCTGATCATCAAGACGGCCGAGAGTTCCAGATGGTTGACAGACACTGAATTAATCCCCGTGCATTGGTTGACACTGCAACTAGAGCCACAGAAAATGATCTCTGTGGTGGCAGCTGTTGTCCCAGCGCTCAGTCATCGACTCACTTGTCCACGAGCGGGCAGAAATCTATTTCGATTTTGTTCGTTTAACAAAACTCAAAAGCGTTCATTGATCGAGACACTGCCCGGTGTAGAGAAATGGAATTTTGACAGTCTAGTCAACTTACAAGTGGTGGTGGTTGTTCAGTGGCCAGATCCATCATCCGAACTTTTCGAGAAGTGCAACTTCCGTATTCCTAATGCGTATACAATAAGGAAAGCCTTACGAAAACGAAAACCGATCACACTGGGCGTTCCATCTCACGTAAGGGACACATATTATATGGATTTGCGGCGAATTTGCGTCCCCGAAAAAAATGTGAGTATAGAACACTATTTGTAATTTGGTTGAAAATCGGTAATTGCCAGTTGCATTATAGCTACATCTAGTTACTAAAAATATGGTTGCACTGGTGCTAACAGGTGAACTGTCATCACAATTTTGATCTTGTAAACAAAATGGTCTCATTGCTCGAGTCACATCAATGTGAATGGGACACTCTAGTCCCACCATGCTTCATCCACACTCTGATGTAGTTTTTCACTAAGCACATCCGTTATCACTTTCAGTAAAATTCCCGCTAGGGCAAACACCACCTCGGGTAAACAGCCATTATTCAATTTGCACATTTACTGTCGTGGTAATCAGTAATTGGAAAATCCTGCTTATGTTTCACCGTTTGATAAGCTCAGAAAACGTGCCAGTGTAAGGTCAACGAAGTACAAACAATCTCACACGAGATCCATGGATGGAACGGATCTCATTGAAAAATTTGGGCGTCGTGCTCATGATTATTGTCTTAGCCACGACGAGTGAAAACCAACGTCACCAACGCCTTGTGTTTTGGTTTTCACTCGTCGTGGCTAAGACAAGCTAACTTTTCCTCTATACACAATCTCACTCAAATCACAAACCCATCTTACTGAGTGGATAAAAAATAACGAGGGTTGTAAACAGCCCAGTCTGATAAAATTGGCAAAGGCTTATCGCGTTCGAAGGCAACGGAAAGAAGAGTGATTTAAAGCTGAGCTGCAAATGTAGTGCATCAATTTATGTCCTCTTAATAGGAACAAAAAGAAAACTCTCTAAGATAAATATTCAGCAAGAAAGGACTCAGATAATTGTGTATACACACACTACAAATCATGCAGTATTGCGTGCTTCAGCATTGATAACAATAATCGCTCAGGCGATAAACTACGTGGTGGCTTCCACTGATTTCGTAAGCTGCTATTCAGACATTATAGACACAAGCAGACTATTCCTATATTTGCTCCATTCATAAGCGCTGCAGCACGTTCCTCCATTCCTTGTAAGATGCTATTGGTAAAAAAAACAAGGAACTAAATAATGAATTGCAAGTTCCTCTATGGAAATAAATTCAGATTGGAGTTAACTAACTGGTTATCATAGAGAACTATAAAGTCAGCAGGAAACAGATCTGCCACCTTTGAAAACTTCACCTTAGTAACTATAGCCATTGGATCATAGAGGTGGTGACATTCATGGATTTCAGCGGTATATTCTCGGTGGATTTTGAGTTGTTAGACGGTATCAAAACGACTAGTTAATTTACGGTTGCATAAGTTTTTCGCCAGTTTCTGATAAAATAATCTTTCTGATACTCTCATGTATGCAGTAGTCAGGTTCAGAATGTTTACAAGTGAGTCATAACCCTGGAGGTTAGCTACGAAGTACTAGAGGTGGGGTGTTAGTATGTCCGCAACAGGCTTGTAAAAATGGATTGTGCTATATCGTGTATGGTTAAAATGAAAAACGGTCTGATCTGCTGCCCGGTGTTCAAGTTGATAGTCTAATTGGATTCCGCATGTGAGGTTCCGTTTTCGCTACTCAATTGGGTCAATGAATTGCACTCTTGATGTGTCCTAATCAGGCTGAAATAGCTTTCCAGTGCTTCCTAGCCTTTTAATTCACCCCTCCAATACTGTGTATACGAAGAAATAGTCCATACAACTCAATCAAATTCTCCACTCGTCTCATTTACTAGTTCTCTTGGTTAGTAGAACCACCCATCACTCCGCTCCTGTATGAAATTACAGGTAATAAACTATTTGTGTAACTTCCGTGAACCGGGACTAAGAGTCATTTTAGTTCCATTTGTTTTCATTTGACTAACAGAATAGAATTCCAATATAATTATATTAAAACCAATATTAGTCAAATTCAAAGTTTTATAATGGGAATTACTTACAATCTGTTGCTTTTCTACTCCCGGAGGGTTCAGCACAGACGAACCTATTCACGGTACATAAAAAGTAGACGAATATCACAAATTATCCCTGTTTCACGCAATGCTACAAATATTGAAATCGAAGACTTATCAAAGCTTTATTCAGTTTCTGCTTGAAGGAATCAATTTTAGGTGCGAAAACAACGTGTGTTGGTCGATAATTCCAAGTAGTCAATGAATGAGGTCGGCATTTTCGGAGCACTTATTTGAATGAGTGCCCCCCTGGGTGAGTGTTGGGTGACAATGCAGAGCTAACGAAATCGGTGATCTGGTTTCTGCATTATTTGATACAGAAATATCACTTCCCCTTGAATATGGCGATACCGTGTGGAGTTGCATTGATTCCAGTTTTTCCTCGTAACTGTTGGAATGCAGTTCTTTGTGGACGTTCCAGAATCTTCCGATCGCCTTGTAGCCATAGGTTCCATGCTTGGATTGCATACTCCATGTAGGCCGATAACAACCGTGGAAACAGCGTAGGTTCAAATTTGTCAAATACTCGCTTTAGCAAACCAACATGTCTTACAGCGGTGGACGACGCCCGGTAGCATTTCAAAGAATAACTTAGGTCGTCTTGGACAATGAGAACGAGATCCTTCTCATTCGAAATATACGGAGGTTGTTGATCTCCCAGGAAATACGGAAACCGAGTTTTGCTGCGAATGCATAAGATCATACATTTTGCTGCATTAAATTCCATGTCGTTTTCGATCGACAATTGATAGGAAGCACTAAATATCCTCTGAAGTGCTAGCGAACTTACGTAATGAACTTATATAATGAGATTCTTGCAGGGGTTGACAATCAGCTGTACTTTGAAAATTTCAGCAGAACGAATGCAGTGTTTAAACGTTTTTATTCATCTAAATTTGTTCCGTCTTAATAATGGTTCTTAGAAAACAGTGAACTTACCTGATTAAAAGGAATTTACACCAGTGCACAAAGTTTTAAAGTAATTGCTTAATGGTTTACTGTCGGTTAAGCTCTTCAGATAGTCTAATGGTAAATTCCTGTTGCAGAGGATTACTTAAAGGCATTTAAAAGATTTTTGTCCCTCATACATGAGTGCGTAAAGTTCAAAGTGCAAAGTTCATGTTTGCATTTTTTTTTGCTAATTTTTTCGTTTTGTTTCTGTTTACCTCTAATATTACCGAATATCTGAATAGCTATGGAGTTGGAAGCAGTACCAGTTATTGTGGTAACTACACGTATCAACTTATCTATTCGAGCTTTGCGGATAGCAGTAATAAGCAAAATTCTGCTTCCTTCTTATTTGTCAAATATAAACTTATGTAGTCAGTTTTTAGGAATGTGGCTACATTAAATCCGAGGTTATTCGGGGATTCTGACACGACCTCTGCGCCACAATGATAATCAGATTAAGAATTTAATCACCAGTGCCTACGAGATTCCTTGTTATGGATGGATTTCATAATAAGGTTGGTAGAATGAAGAACAAAGATGCACATTCGAAAATCGGTCGTACAAGTGTTTGGATAGCTTTTCATTACACAGTTTTTCACCTAGAATTGGGTTATAAACAAGTTGCCTTCAGTATTAGCTTTCGTTGATGATGCTCGACTCACTTGTTTGATCCCAAGTGATGAAGATTACCGCTGGTTCGAGAGATTAAGAAATTTGGGATATAATGCTGTACGGCCTGTTGAACTCTCGGGCCCAATAAAAGGCAAACAAAGTGAAAGCAAACAGAAAATTCGGAAATCAGAATAAATTTTCGTGAGCAGTGTATATTATTAGGTTTCGTTTTGGTCATTGCCATGGATCTTAGTTTTTGATCGATAACAGCAACCGTGAGAAGAAATTCTTTTTGGCATTCACCAACCCGGGCACCTTGGTTTTGGTCTTGTTGTAGAACCAATGGAAAATAGCTTGTACGGGAAACAAACATCGTCCCACGAATGAAGGCTTTAAGAAGAAAGGTGCTAGTCAAGCCGTGGAATTTGCTGTACCTGGTCTCCTCCATACCCTAAGGTTCAGACTTCATGATCACCATCCGACTGTCTTGATAGAAAACATCGTTTTAGACCATCACGCTAACCCATCTCTCCTATATTGATCTTATTTAGCTCGTTACTCCAAGTCCCAGGATTTGGATTGCCGATTAACCTTGATGCGCAATACAACTTCTTGATTATGGTGTTTCTTTACTCTTATGTTCAATGCATAGTGGTGTTTTAAAAGCGTTGTATAATACGGAACCAGAAAGAAAACTTCAGCTAACTAAGCAAATAATGTTGCCATTGGATACCTAGGCTGAATTTTCTCCTGTACTCATTGTTTTCAAGGATGATTTCACAGCTTTGTCGTAGTCCAAGGTCGTTGTTTCTTTTTTCATATAAATTGGATCATTGGGGTTATGGGATTTGGTTATTCGACTTTTTGCGAACCAAAAAGTGTATTATTAACAAAAACGGGTTTTGTCGAGGATTCCAATGATAAAAATAATAATAATAATGATATAGAATCACGACGATCTAACTTTC